ATAAAAAGATGTATCTATGTGTGCCAAGTGACTGTCACCAGTGGGGTGAAACAAAGAGGCCACAGCTCACATTCTCAGACTCCTTTTCAAAGGTCTTGTTACTTAGAGTATTTGCTTGGGAACACACAGAATTATGAGAGGGGGAAAAACTGTGCTGTGAGCAAAGTGTACGGGCATGATGATGCGGAGCACGAAGGGATGACAAGAATGGGGTAAGCGGGGGAGGGCAGCTCTTTCTACTGTGGCCAGTTTTGTGGTGACATGGGGAACAGTGTCTGGAAGATGCACAGTAGATTGGATGTGCAGGTGCGTTTGTTGGTTTCAAACTGCAAATATATGAGAGCTGTATGCAGTGGTGTTTTCACTGGCCAGACTCATTTCATATGAGAGCTTCCTTGTACCCTGCTGTCCCTTCTCCTTTGTGATCCCTCTACAAACTTCCCACTCCCCTGTCCTAGTTCCCCCTGCCCCAATGTGTTCACTGCCCTTATCTGCTATACCTCTGAAGCCTGTACTTGACAAGCTCTGTTTTCCCAAAACAAGGAAGGAGAGACATTCAAAAGCCCTTGTTCTTGTCCTCCACCTTTACAACTTTCACTGTTCCTAGCAGGAGGTAGCAGAGCCTTGCCTGGTTCCATGACCTTTCTCCTAGGGCTCTGCACAATACACTCCCAACATGTGCCATCAGATGATGTATCTCCATCTCTCTTCACCCTCTTTTCTGCTGCAGCTCTGTTTCCTACTGTCAGGGCTAATGAGGTCATGGCTCTCAGTGCTTTTCTCATCCTTGCTCTGGCTCTTGTGTATTGCCCATCACTGTTGCTGCAACTTCCCAGATAACTCTGGCTCTTCTGTCACTCCTTGAGTTCTTCCCCTTATTTTTCTTTCTCTCTGGTTTTAAAAACACTATAGTGAAAGTAAGAAAGTTGTGAAGACAGAAGACCAATTTTAGCCGTGGTAAAAGCAAATGCAGCTTCTGTTTCTTGGGCGTTATGTTTGCTAACTCCAGAGTGAGTTTAGCCTGTAACTGGTGCTGTTTAAAACTGTGGCAGGCAGAATTTGCATGTTTGCTTTCAAGGCAGCTGTGATAATAGCAGCCTAAACAGTTGCTCTTTCTGGGTCTTCTTTGCAAAAATGCTTTACTGTATCCACCAGAGAGGTGATTTGGCACAGTGATGTTGCCCCTGTATAAGGACAATATCCTGGGCTGCTCACAGGCATGGATTCAAAGCCTCATGGTGCACCTTCTACAGACTGTTGCAGAAACTCAGATGTGGAGGCCAAGTGGCAGCCCTGTGCATTCCAGCCTCCTGCAGTCTCCCATAAAGAAGAGTCTCCCAGTTGATGTAGCTGCCTGGTGACTTTGCTTGAGCAGCAGTAAAATCCACAGCTAGGATATGCCACAACACAAGTGTGCCAAGAATGTGTCTTGATGACATACAGGTTTTCATGACAGTGTGTATGTGATGAGCTCTTAATTAAAGGCTCCTGCTAACAGCTTAGTGCTTAGACTCAAATATGTAAAAAAAGTCCTAGCCTTAGGTTCACAGAATCGTAGAACGGCTTGGGTCTCAAGGGATCTTAAAGATCATCTAGTTCGAATCTCCCTGCTGTGGGCAGGGACACCTTTCACTAGAACATGTGGCTTAGAGCCCCATCCAACCTGACCTTGAACACTTTCAGGGATGGGGCAACCTGTTTCAGTGTGTCATCACCCTCACATTTTCTCCTAATATCTAATCTAAACCTACTGTCTTTCAGTCTGAAGCCATTCCCCCTTGTCCTTCCCCCTTTCCAACATGCCCTTGGAAAAAGTCACTCTCCTGGGTCATCCTGAAGCCTTCTCTTCTCCAGGCTGAATGATCCCAATTCTCTCCAAGCTCCTATTCTCAAAGACAAGCTTGCCCTGTAGCTTTCATGACACTGTTATTGAAGTATCTGAGAGCAGGCAGCTAGACCAAACAGGATGTTGGAAGCCTAGAAATAGTAAATAGCATTTGCTTGTGACATCCTTCTTCTTTGGGATTACTTTGGGAATTAGATTTTTTTTTTGGAAATGGATGAAAAGTCAGTCTTTTTTGCAATACTACTGATATCTTGTTTTCTTCCTCCATTATGAGACAAAGCAAGAGTTTAAGTGGTAGCCTGGCACTTCACAGGGGCTGTGTTCACATTAAATGGAAAAGGTCCGGATTGTCAGTGGCAGATTTCCCTCTGTGCATCCCAGACTACATCAGTCATCTCCCTTATACAGTGTGCAAAACCTCCCCACCCAGAAGAAAAAGTACTCAGATAAATGTCTGTAACTTAAAACATCCCTACAGTGGTCTTTTTTTTTTCCCCTGCAGAAAATGTAGTATCCTGTCCAACCTTTAGAATGCACAGTTTTACGGGATAGACACATCTACTTGAGTTTTAAGTGACAGCACTGGTTTTCTCTAAGTTCTCACCCTGCATTTTAATCTTCAGTGAAACAAAATAGTTAGCTTTATTTGGCATGTTTATAAGCAATCGAGCCTACCAAAGTGCCTTCTGGTTGAACTTAGTATACCCTCAGCTTTGTGTAATTGGGACTGCAGCATGACAGAGAGTTCTGTTATGGCTTCACATATTGATAAGTCCAATTTAATTTCCTCATGGGACCTGGACCACGCTAGGAATGAGGGGTTGTGTTGAAAGCTTGATAAGCCTATTTTAACAAAGCATCTCAAGGGCTTCTCGAACAGAAGCAATTATCAATACTGATACATGTTTCCTTTCATCAAAAGGTAAGGGCTCATTAATAAGCTGCACAACAGCTGCTGTTTGCAACATATGACTTTTTTTTTAATTAACTTGGAGATGCCGCTTCCTCAGCTTTACCGGTTTCCAGAAAAAAAAGAAATTGGGTTGCAGGTTTTAATTTTAGTGGTATATGTGATAGCAGTATCTTCTGCATTTCTATATTCACTATTTTGGTAATTGAAGCCTAGATTATATTTTAGAGAGGTGGTTGCGTTCCACTGCTTATGCCCATGTCAGAAGGAACCACACCAACAAATTTTGGTGTTTTGCAACTTTTGAATTGTTTGTCAAGTTAGTGCTGATGTCTGCTATTTTTAATGTTAATGTTATTGGTTAAATAGTCTCCTGTTATAACTCTGGAAATCAGCATTCTTGTTTGTCGTTGGATATTTCAAAAATGTTTTTAAATTGTGTTTATTTTAGGCTCTCAGTTATGAGAAGGAAGTTCGTTGTTGCTTCCCACTGTTTTATCTTTCCTATGCAAAAATCTTAGCATTTCATTTATAACCTATTTGAAGTAGGTGTGTTGTGGGTGTTAAATTCATCCTGCTATTTAATGTTGCAAATTGGATGTATGGAAAGAAAACATCATCAAGGCAAACTGCTATGTTAAACTTGATTTTAAGCACAGTTTTTGGATAAGTAGTTAGAAGTTTAGTGCCTTACAGAATGGCTATCCTTAGCTAATAGCAGTTGCTTTTGTTTTGTTTATTTACCAGTAAACAATTTAAACCATTTAACACCTGCTATAGTGTTTTCTGATTTCTTTTTCATTTCACACACATTATCTCAATAATTAGCACGGTTCTGCTCATTAATGCATGGATTGAAAGTAGCAGCAATACATTCCAGGGAAATTGGAAAAAAACCTTTGTTTCTAAGCACAGATGAGTGTGGATGTGTGAAACAGAAAAAAAAAGGAAAGGTAGATGGATTACAGCAAGTGTAATTGACCAATGAAACAAATTCTGTACTGTGCTCAAAATCCTGTGTTTCTTGTTTGGTGGATCATGCTAAGTGGCACCTTATCTGATTTTTCTTCTTGTCTTGATGTCTAAACTTCCAGAATCATTTGTTCAAGGGAAAATTAGAGTTTTCATGATAAAATAGAACTATTTAGCATGGGTAATTGTTGCCTAAAATTGCAAGTGTTTCTTAGGAGGTCAGAAATAGGAAGCTGGATGGAAAGAAATACATTTTAGTTCTTTATGTATTCTAGAATTCTTTTGAAGTTGTGACTCAACCATTACTGGAATTCCTGGTACTGAAGATCCCATAAATGTTTAATGGGAAATGGCTAAAACCATTACTGCCCCCCAGGCTACTGTTTAGTGTCACTTCTCTTCCCCAGTTAGTCATGACTGAAGTGTGAAGATGAGTGGGTAAATTACCTTCAGCAATGATTAATTCAGATTAATTACCTAATTTTGCAAACACTGGAGCACTGAAAGAACAATAATGGTGTGACAAATACCCTAAACTTACCTAATATTAGGTATATTCTGGATTTAATTCTTCAAACATACCGATGGGGCCAATTCAGACACTCTTAGTGATGTGACGGAGCCAACATGCCAGCAAGTAGCTCCTTTGATTTCAGTGGCCTATAATCCTTATTAAAACTGTGCAGTTCAAAGTGATAGTTCAATGTCCCAGATTAGTGGGATTAAGAGTAATTTCAGCTTACTTTAGGCCTTTACTTACTTCCCTGCTCCTTAATTCTCCAGCCATGTTCCTCTTGTCGAAGTCTGTTCCATGCAACAGTCACTGTAGCTACCTGCTCAAACCATTGCACAGGGCAAAGGAGCAGAGGCTGCTTTTTAGGAAGGGGCTACAGAATAGATATTTAAAAATGAACTATTTTTATGAACATACAGTGCTGAGAAAGTATGGAAAAATGATGGGAAAAAATCAACTATTTGATTCTAAAATGGAAGAAAGATAAATATTATAATGCATGGGAGTGTCCCCTATACATGGAACATGTGTTAATTAAATATTTTCTGTGTAACTGGAATATATGTTAATTAAATTCTTAAATAGTGGGACAGTAACGCTGTTTATCATTGATTTTATACCTTAATGATATGCTTAATTACATTCCTCACTAGTTTTGGAAACTGAGGCCATGAAATGTGAAGTTGTTTCTTTTTGTAATAATGTAAATTATCTTATATTAAGTAATGCTATTTATTATTTTATCCTTAAATCTCTAGGTGCTGAAGTGTTGTATATGAACATGTCAGCATATAACGAAGGTCGGCTTCAGTCGTCTTTCTGGATTGTTGATAAACAGCACGTATACATTGGAAGTGCCAGCCTAGACTGGAGATCGTTGGGACAGGTAATTTAATTGAAAAAGTAATCCTATACCCTTGGAGGGTATAATGAGGAAAAAAAAAAAAAGTAGTGTTTGGAAGCCACTTGGATAGCTCTGTTTTCTGAGAGTTTACTGGCAAAGGTGCCAGCATCAAAAACTGTATTACCACAATTTTGATGACTCTTCTGTGTTGGCTAAAGTATGTTACTATAAATTTTGCTTCTCTTCATTGCGACTAATCTCTTCCATCGTTATGCTTAGATTTTAAAAATTTGATTGCTTTTATCCATTTCTGTGTATTGTAAGTTCCAGTTTAGTTATTTTATTAAAGAAAAAAAAATAAATATTGAGCAAACCTTCTGGTAAACAAACCACTATGGAAACTCTTTGGTCATATCATGTGAATGACCTCATCCCTCTGAACTGCCATTCGAAAAAGCAAAACCAATATTTGGACAGACTTCCACATAGATAGTGGGTATTGTCCTGGAATACCCACTGCTTTTGGAGAGGGAGGGATTTATGGCTACAGAAAGTCAAATAATGTAATGTTTTTCAAGGCTGTATGTGTTAGAGAGAATTCCATATTTTTAGTCTTGATAAACATCAGAGTTGAAGGCCTCTGCCAACAACCAGTGCTGGGAACTCTTTATAGTCTGCAACTACTTTGAAGAAGTAGTTCATCAGTGATTCAACTAATATGGCTTTTTGTAGGTATCCATGTGTTTTTTCTTTCTGCAACAGTCTCAGGGTCATTAACGGCTGTCATGTTCATTTTTGCTATACCACTGACTGTGTGAGGCTGCTGTCAGTCACATTTATGGAGTGAAACCTGTGCTTTTAGATCTCAGTAACTGAAACGCATAACAGAAGAGGGAAAGAAGCGGTCCTAGGTAGTTATTAGTTGCAGTAAAAATGCTTACTTTCTAAATATGAGCAGATTCAGAGAAGCACAGGAATAAGCATGATCATAGATTCTAATGACTTTGTAAAGAAGAATATGTGTTAGTTATGTTGAATGTTTTGAGCTAAGAGACTGAATAAAAAAAAAATCACCATTTTAGTAAAGAAAGGGTGGATACATGCATTTTTGCTGTTCTTATTATATTAATTTATTTAAAAGGTAACCTTTTGAATGTTTACAAAGGAATCTGGAATACTGGTAGAAAAGAGGATATTGTTAGCAAACTAGAGAAAGTCTTGGCTGAGAGGATGTTGTATTTTCAGTCAGTATAAGAACATACAGTTTGGGCTTTTGGACAGTTTAGAAAATGTTTGTAAATTGTCTATGCCTCACGAGCTAACCTGTCCTCATGTCATAACAAAATAGCTTGTCGTGGGGTTTATTTAGCTTATAAATATTTTAGCTTTGAAGCCCCTTCTAATTGAGGCTTTGAATACTGGTGAAAATAATAAATGTGAACAAAAGAAGCACATCTAACACACAGATTACTATTTATGTACTTATGATCTTTATCGGAGAGGCTACAATTCCATATAGGATTGGTCTTCTCATGCTGAAGTAAATCTTAAACCTTGTAATATACCTATGTTAAACTTTATTACTTGTGGGCCAGTGTTTCAAATGTGATTCCTCACTGTTAATTTTATCACACTTTTCTGCATGCATTTTTTTTAGTCTCATTGTCATATAACAGTATATTTTTATATGTAGTTATAAGATGAAGCCCAGAAGAATATTTGGCAAGAGCAAAAAGAATTCTCTCTGAATTACAGTGAAAGAGAATCTGCTTTCATTTAGTTGAGAAATGTATGCTGGGGCTTCAGAAGAGCCCAAGGAAATTAGATGCTTGGCTCCTGTTGACGTTAGATATGAGTATCCAATTGCCTTACTCCAGAGCTACAAGTTAACCTGTCAAAGAGATCTGATATGCTTTCCTAAAATAATAATCTCTCTTGAACTTTTCACATAAGAAGCAAAATAAGCTTAGAACTGTTGTCATTTTATTCTGAGTGCTTTCCTTAAGCAAAATGCTTCGCACATGCGTGGCACCTTATCTTAAAACCCACGGTGAGCTGAGCCTTCACGGGGGAAACACATCTCCCAAGGGTTCTCATTACCAGAGTCCCAGTGTGGCTGCAAATGAAGGATCCAGGTCGCCTCTTTTCTTCTCTCAAAGCAGCCTAAATGAGTAAGGACTGAGTACCTGGTAAATGGCAGAGCAGACAGTGCCTGTCCTGACCCATGTCCTTGCACTTGCCCTGCCTACAGTAGTGGGATAGGGCTTCTGCAGTTTTGCAGCAAGAGGTAGGGGCTCGCTGCAGATGCCACTGCATGTTTCCCATTACATCCTGTTTTGCCTGCAGAGAAAGGACCATGAAAAGGCAGCCTGGGCTGTTGATTAGTTGCATATGGTCTCTTCATCGGACTTGCAGAGTATCAGAACTGGTGATTATTGAAACAGCAAGCCACTTTGGCCAGTATTACTAGATCTTGACAGCAAATCACAGAACAAAGTAGGTCTCTCCTGTTCTAGAAACATATGGTACTTTGGCCTGTCAAGCACAGCAGTTGTCTTCTCACTCAACAAAATATCCAGTGTGAGTCAGTCACCTTGTAGCTAACAGTGTCTCATTATTTAGCAGCAGAGTTCCACTGTAAATGACTGCATCCATTTTCACATCTAATAATATATAAAGTGTACTGAAAAGCTTCATATTTTAACTGTACATGGTTGTCATATCTTTTCACATGCCTTCCCCAGTATTTTCTGCATGTACTGCTTCCTCTGTGCTAAAGCTTTGCATAATTCAGGCCAGTACACTGCAGAATTCATATAGGAGCACTTACCTGCTTGGCTGATGTGGCAGCCACACTAAAGATGCAGCAGGTCTCTATGGTACCTCACCCTAGGCTATAGTTCCAGAGTAGACCTACGTCTTGCTTGCTAAAGACCTAAGATGTAGAAATGCTTCTGTGACGTGGAAGGACAGAGCATTTGGCATATGTGAGTGCTAGAGAATATTTACACAAAGTTACTGCAGGAGATATGACTGGGGCTCATTGCTATTTTGTCCCTTTGCCTGGGCCTAAAAAAAAAATAAGTCTGTTAGCATAATTTGTCTCTTATGAGGCTAGATCTAAAGCTCAAACAGTGATTTAACTTTTAATAGCTCCTTGGAAAACAACATCAGGACTTACATGCTTTGGCTTTGCAATATTTGTGGAGAATTCTTCTCTGTGTTTATAAGCTGGACACTAGAAATCACTCATATGAAGCTCACTGAGCTTTGTTGCCATTTTCTTGACTTGCCAGCACTGACAAGAAGTAATATGAGTATTTTCTTTAAAACTAAATTTTCCACATCAAGGAGAGATTTTCATATGCTGCATATATTACTTAGGAATAACCTTTAAAGTTGCATTCTTGTGCCTCCACTGTCAAAGTTTTAATACTTGCCAGACTCTCAGCTTTGAAATTATGGGCAAGGCTGAGAACACATCCTTACTTTTCAAGTAAAACTGTGTTTCACTTAGATTGCCAGTTTGTCAAAACTAGTAATTCTGGCTATCATTGCATAGAAATACATCTAGAAATCATGTATGCCAGCTATCTGCTTCAGTTTGAAATCAACCCCGTAGGCTATGGGGTTTAGAGTCCCTGAAAACAGGATTTTACAGAAACTGGATGTTTTTGCATTCATAGTGAAATATTTTGATCTTTTCTTCAAGCAGGTCTAAATTTTGTGTCAGGGAGGCATCTTTATCTGTTGTTATCAATATAGCCAAATATTGCCCAATTACATAATCAATTGAAAATTGAAGGTTATGAACAACCAGAGTTTTTACCCCTTTCTTAGGTCTAGTAAGCTAGGTAAGATTTTACCAGTGAAATAATCTAGTTTCTTGCTGGTAAATTTTTCATAAACTGATAAAATGGTGCAAAATTTGTATAAACAATGTGTCTTATGAGTTTACCAGCTTGATGAAGGACATCTGGAGAGATGATCTCTTATTCTTTGTGGTGCCATTCTGACTTCAGTATGTCATTTATGGGGGGCACTAGAAGAGGAAAATTATTAAGATAACATTTTAAATTATATTTTGAACTTTTTATTTCATGTATGAGATGTATGTGATCAACTGTACAACTTTGATCTTGCATTTCACTGACGTGCATTTGGTAAGGGATGCAATTGATAAAGTATTTTCCCAGAGTTCTCAGACTCTCACCTACTAAGAAGTTGTTCTTATGACCATTGAACAAGCCAAGGAACATCTTTGGGCCATAGCTGTGCAACCTCCTTAAGTATATATTTAAGATAACAATGTGTTGAAGTCTTTGTGTTTTTTTCTGCAAAATACATGCATCTGTGTTAAAATGTTTGGCTGAAAAATGAGGTCACTCAAACATGCCTAAAATTGAGTATGTATACTGATTAATTTTTGCCTATGGCTTGAACTAATAGCAATCGAGATAGCTATGGTGCTATATTGTAGATATTAGTTCCTTGACCAGGTAGCTTATTAATATATTTAATAAAAGAAAATTGTTATATAACAATTTTTATAATTCATAATATTAATGCAGCACAATAGTTAACAAAAATTTTCATCTATATCTTTTGTTCCATGACTCCCTCCAATAGTTCCAACAAAGCTTGAAAATGCATTTCGCTCCTTAATTCGGTTAACGAGCATGAGGTTTGCAACACATACCCAGTTTTAATCTGCTCAAGAAACACTTCTGGAACTCTTTATACTGATAACATTTTTGGAAAATTTTTATTCACACATGAATAATCGAATCCAGTGGGCAAAAAACTGTAATGGATTAGTTGAACCATTTCAGAAGAATGCATTTATGTGCAACTAATAATCTGCTCTTGGAAAATTCTACTACTGAAAATTACTGAAATAAGTAAAAGTAATCCAATTGTTTTCACTTGAAGTGAAATCAGACTAATATTAACTTCTCTTGTAGGGAAAAAAAAAAAGAAAAAACTTAAATCATGAATACTAACAGGTACCAGGTAGTTGAGTGTATTTGTGGAGGTTAATG